ATATCTCTCCAGAATTTCGATGTCCTAATTTTCTGGCTTTCGAATGATCTTTGAGACAAAACTTTCGCGCGGTCGAGCGTGAGACCTTGGCATGCTTTAGACATACGCGCGCGCACACACACACACACATACACACATATACACATACACAGATAACTCCGTGACAATATGCGTTTTGTACAGCTGTTGCATGGCACAATACACATAAAAAAGTAGGAATGTTGATCGCAGACTAATATTCCTCTTCGTGGGCTAACTGTTGTGCTAGTTCTTTAATTTATTTGCAATTCAACTTTGAAATTATCTATTTTACTGGGATTTAGCAAGATATGTCAAGCGTAGCCATAACAGATTTCTTTTATTTGCCTCCATTTTGCTTATGCTCTTCTCCTCACCTTTTATCCTACCGGTCTTCAACACCAGGAAAATATATATTTTCATTCGACTTACCTCATTTTCTTGAATATTTTGTTCGCGTCAATATAATTCGTGAAAATTTCACAGCGTTCATACCTGACAGGATCATGTTATGGTGCCGAAACGCGAAACTTTGTATGACTTAATGGATCGAAACAAAATTCTTCTTAACCTTCCATCATATCCCTCTTCAACACCAGGAAAATATAGTTTTTCATTCAACTTACCTTATTTCCTTGAATATTTTATTCATGTTTATATAATTCTTGAAAATATCACAGCTTTCATACTGACAGGATCGTAATTATGGTGCCGAAACGCGAAATTTTGTATGACTTAATGGATCGAAACAAAACTCTTCTTAACCTCCCATCCTACCCGCCTTCATCACCAGGAAAATATAGTTTCTCATTCAACTCATATTTTCTTGAATATTTTGATCGCATTGATATAATTCTTGAAAATATCACAGTGTTCATACTGGTAGGATCATAATTATGGTGCCGAAACGCGAAATTTATATGACTGAATGAATCGAAACATTATAAGTTTGATTATATATATATTCACATCTGTCCCAATTTAATTATATTTCCCTATCCTTTTAGTTTTTGCTAATTTCCCTTAATTCCTGTAATTTTCTAATTTTGCTGAATGTCTGTAGCTACTGTTCCTTCTGTTTTTTTTTTTTTTTCTGCAGACTCTTTTTGTCTCCGTGATTATACATTTGTACAT